AACTTAACGACCTCGATTCGATTATCGTCAAAGTATGGTAAAGTTATCGTTAGAATTTTTTGAGTTTCTGTAAAGAAGCCATTGGTTATGCTCAAAGACATGGTGGTCAATGACTAGAAAAGATTGGAGAAATAAATGAACATAATGTATATCTTTGGTCTTATAAGAATGGTGATATCAATGGGAATATCCATTAAAATATATCATGAAAAAATTCAAGTGGTGCCCTCTTTGTCATCATACTACTGAAAAAAATGTACAATATATTTTTGAGGATCTGCTAAACAAAAAATTCTTATTCTGTAGACCATTATTTTTAAATGGAATGCAACTCGATGGGTATAATAAAAAACTAGCATTCAAATTCCATAATCAGCAACATTATACTCTTAATTCAATATTTTATAGGAGAGGAATATAGATTTGGAAGAACAAAAATCACAAAATCAGAAGAAGCAAGATATATACAAGAAGCAAGGTATTATCTTATCAAAGTTCCTATACAGCTGATCTCCTATCCTATATCAGACATACTCTAATTGAGAAAAGGTTCTTGAAAGAAGTGAAGAATTAAAAGGAATTAATTTAGTATATCATTAATAATACTCCATTCGATATGAAAAGAAATAAACTTAAGCTGGTTGATAGGCTCATATATCACATCAATAAGATTAAAAATGCCAAAAAATATAACGGACATTTGAGTATTTCCAATGACCTTTTATTTTACTAATTTGTTGCTATACTAATTCAGAAAAAACTAATGAGGTTCTCAATTTCATGCTTGATAATAAGCTTTATCAAATGTTTAATGGAAAGAAAAGAGGGACACACTATATCAAGTATGATGATTTATTACTTATCAACCATAATCTTAAGGAGCTGAAATACTTGTATCTCAAATCTGATTAAAGTGGATTCATTTTCTTCAGATAGAGGTATAGTGCCTATATTTAAAGATGTATGTGCTGATCTGAAAAAAGTGCAGGAGAAAATAGTCCTTTATTTTATTAAGTAATGCTATTACAATATAAGTTTGATATATGTATTTCAGAGTTACTTTGATTGTCCAAAAATAATACGAAAAAATCTCACACATGTCTGCCTATTTAATAGGTCGTGCATTACAAATGAGCTAGTCAGAATTATGCGTCAATATGCTAATGACTAGCGTAGTATAATTAAGATTATTAATAAGACATTATATGAAAAAAATTCATTGTTTTTGATCTAACTGTATCTTGTGAGCATTTATACAGAATACAGCTAGGATGCGATCAAATTCTTGAAAAAAGTGTCTCAACTATTGAATAGAATCTGATTTTATAGATGCTAGCTCTTTTTTGCCTCCTGTACCTGCATTTTCAGATTCTAAATCTTGTAGCGTAATATCTTATTTGCACTAATCCTTTCTTTATAATCATTATCTATATCTTGTATCATTTTTCCAAAAGTCTTTCTATTATAGTCAAATAGATGTTGAAATAAGATTTTAAGTTCATTTATAACTCAATGGTTATTTTCTTCCTCAGTTTGAACCTCATTATCTAAAACACATACATATGGTAATGCTAGAAATACATCACATTCTGGCCAAATTCGAGGATATAGTAATTTTTTCTAAGTCATATTTTTGCATTTCCTATTTAATGAATTCTCATAAATCTCTAATGTGTGTCTCAAATAAGATTCAATTTATTTAGACTTTCCAGAAATAGATTTTAATAGAATAGGATCTTTAGAATGGTATAAGAGTTTCTCGTACGTTCTCTTGACAAGACTTTCAGGTAATCTATTAATAATATATTATAGTCAGAATGGAACATTTTATTAAATATAGTTTTGCATAAAAAAAGTTTGTGTGCAAAAAAAAATATACCAATTAGGCTAGAACAATAAAATGTTTTAATTCACGCGCCAGTTTTATGATATATCTAGCAGATCAGCTAGAAATATTAGCTCTGATTAAGAATTTTACGTGACATTTGATCATTGGTCATAAACTTTTGCCAAAAAAATTCATGTGATTTTGCCAAGAAAATTTTATTATTAATAATTACATGCATAAAATTGAACTCTATTCTATAAATTTTTGGGGTCAAAACCATTACTATTATTTTACTAGAACTATACTCACTATCCTCAGAATTAAAATCATATAATATTTTGTGGATTGAATATACTACAAACATCTTCAATGTTAACTAAGTATGGATAAGTGTAGTGATGTGTATTTTATGCTACCAATAGTAAAAATTTGATTGGAAGCTTCCAATCCAAATAATTTTATTAATAAATTATGCTTCCAAACCTTCCAAAAGTACTTCCAAAGGTGCTTCCAATCTTCCAAGTGCATATCACTGGATAAGTGGATATACAGCACTCAGTAAAGTTATATGCAACGGAATTGTTGCCTCCTCTATTAAACAGTACTTGTAAATTCCCAATTCTTTTTGCATAGCATAAAGTTCTATAACATCATCTAAAAATAAATAGGGCAGAATATAAACGATTTATAAATATATAAAAATTAGAAAATAATTTATATGTACCTGCGATATTAGTAGTAAATATAGTCAGATTCTGTCTCTTGAATGATTGATTAAATATCTTTTTAAGGTTTTTATGCTTCTCGTAATATCAATAGAATTCTTAGAAAAACATATTAATTTTTTGTGATCATAAACCCACTTATCTTGACTGGAATTAGATTTACTGATCTCAAGATAAACAATTTCAAGTTCAGCATTTTTTTCTAACTGGATTATCATCATATAATCAGCTCTTCAGGCAATTTTACTAGAACTTTTTGTATAACATTAGCTGAACTTCCTTCTTCTTTCTTTAATTTAGAAGACATATTAATTGAAACAAAATATATAATAGTGGCGTATCTTTTAAGTTAAACCTACCATATGTTTCACGCTATTGGTTTTTCTGGTAAATCACTTATTACTATATTTATCAATAGTGCGAGAACTTCGCAAACATAGGATCTTTCATTTGTCGATTTTCTCTTCTTTATATATGTTTCTTATTTTGGCGATTTCCAAACTTTGAGCCTATAATTATTTATCAGTTAATAAGCAAAATAAAGCAAAAAATTGACAATTTTTCTTATTACCACAGTGCGGTTTCAGAAATTTGTACTTGCATTGATTCTAACATCTATTTTACTAAATCTTGTAATTCCTTAGATTTATCTAACCATTCTCCATAATTAATATTACCCAAAACCTTATCCATATTAATTTTTAATTTCTCATTCTGGATAAATTCTTTACAGATTTCCATTATATCATAATTCTATTCTAATTTATATTTTTGAAATGGTTTCTTAAAAACATCACAAAATGATTCTGGCATATCTGTAAAGGGTTCTGACTTGATATTCAGAACGCCTGAACAAATCGAATGATTAAATCCAAGGTTCTTCACATTTATTTCCTCAAATTCTAATTCTATTCTCTCCCACATGGTTTTCTCATAATTAGTGCTCTCACTTATGCACTGACCAATATCACACTTTAGAGATTGTAAATTTGTATTTGCATCTTCACATCAGGCTTCAGTATCAATTACTAATGCTTCCATTTCTAAGAGTAAACATAGATCCTTAAATGTTGTTGTAACCTAAGAACATATTTAAAATTAGTTTCTCAAGACTAATTTAATAAATAATTTAATTTTACATTGCGAGATCAGATTAGGTTTCCATTTTCATAAAGTTTCAAATGTTGGCAAATATCTGATATGTATCATATAGTATACAACTAGTTACTATTGTATAAGAAGTAATAATATTACAATGGACATTAGCCTCTTCGCTAGTGGTTATACTATACTAGAAAACCTAAAATACAAGTCATCATATCTATATATTTATTATAAAATAATTCATCACTATACTTGTTTTATCAGTTTTTTCCTTACCAAAACTTCGAAGTTTCTTTATCCGCTTAATATTCTCTAAGGGGACTCATTCTAAAACTCTTTGCAAACTTATTCAAAGTTTTCTATTTCCTTTTTGAGAACACTTGTCTATTCACCTTTTTCTGCTCGTATAAATAATGCTATGGAAATTCTGATGATATTAAGGGGTTCTCTTGTTAAAAGAAGTTCTTCCATATTTTGATAAAATAAAAGTTAAATGTTAGTATAAAGCTTGCTAAGCAAAGTAAAAAAAAATGTAAAGGTATAATAATTTTACTATACTACTTTTTTTAATACTTGTAATTTTCTCATTCACATTTTTTTGTCAAAATAGAAGAATATGCAATGCTTTTACGCCAAAAATGTTGTGTTCGAGAATTAAGGCATGTAGGATATGCATTTAAAATCTTAATATTTAGAAAAACATTAGGGTAATGCATATATGATTTTTTATCTGTCTGAATATGCTATTATTTAGATAGATATCTCCTGCAGGTCTATAATCGAAAGAGGGTAGAAATAGCCTCATCTCTCTCAAAGGCAATTAAATATACATATCAGTTAATATATTATTTTTCTAGAACATTGTAAGAGAAAAAAAAATAAAATATTTTTTAGGGAGAATCGATTTATGTATAAAATTATTTTGTCACACAAACAGATAGTCGCATTCACACAGATTATTGGCAGTGTATCATTATTATATCATATATGCATTTCATAAGTTTTAACTAGGATTAGGAACATGTTTATATTTGTTATACATGTATATATGTAAATCTACTCTGTGGCTAAGACCTTTTTTATTAAGATAATATTTAGGAACTTTTACTAAGAAAAAATATGTAAATAAAAATATATATTAAGAAAGTAATAGTCTATATTAAAATCATTTCTCAATCAACAATCATGATTTCTACCCCATTTCTTAATCTTAACGTAACACCTTTTGGCTGATTAAAATAGTTTATGAATAGTAACAAGTTATTCTGTTTTGCATACTAAGACAAGATAAATATTTCGCTTTTATTGATTTTGTAATTTAAGGATCAATAAGAAGCTGGTGAAGATATTTCTTGCTAGCAAGTAAAATACAAAATAGCTTATCTCTACATTCCTGATCCTAATGATTTTTCATCAAGTCTTCAGACTTTACTTCATAGGCCCATCTGTGTCATCCATCATAATATATCTTTCTTGGCTCTACTTCGGTAATTTTTATCAATTTCCAGCATTTAAAGCAAATAGCCATTTGACTTTTATGAATACTAGGTCTACGATACTCATGTGAAATATCTCTTAATCTATCAATATCATAGTCATAGAACGTCTTATTTTTTCTTGTCCAAATGAAACGAAAAGATGTACACATAATATAAATTATATTTTTGCTTAGAAAGTAACTTTTGCAAAGCACCTCTTACGTGAAAAGCCCATTGCTGAAGCATTTCATGAGGTCTAATAATAGAATAATCATATCATCTTTCTATTTCAACCACTTTTTCAAGCCTATAGTTATCATTATAAGTCTGAACATTATGAACATGCTCCAAATCATATCCAGGACGGAGATTGTTAGGTTTAGGTACAGATTTATTATAAACTTTATCTAAAATAATTGTAACAGTTTGACCAGGCATATTTGATGATTATATGTGATAATGGATAATAAATAAGACTTATAGCAATTTTAGTGATATTTAGCATTATAACAGTTTGTAGCAAGTATTTTATAATAAAATATCAGATTCATTTTTTATTTATTACAAGCATATCGGGATTTAGCCGAAGGTGCTATGCATATTTACATGCATGTAAGGGATTTTCCGATGGCATAATTAGTTCCGAGATAATATAACGGCTAAATTATTCTCAGATCCATTAATCAGAGATGTATGACATATATTGTATCACAGGAATCACCTGACAGTTCCACGACACTCTCTAGGAACTATCGTGACGCTAAGATGTTTCTCAAATCACGTAGGATAATCGGATTTTGTGTAGCATCTAAGCCACCATTATTATTCGATTAATCATTATATAGATCATTATATTGATCATTATATGTCAGTGCAAGATCTTTTCGTTTTTTCTTGACAAAAATTTCCGTATATATAGTACACAATAAATGGACATATTTTTATTCAACAAATACTAATATTTTATTAATTTCTCGTGTATTGTCAAATACGTTATGTAAAATAAGCTAGCTAAATTTATTATTTGTTTTTCTTAGTTTTGGCTTTCTGTGGCGTTGTTTCAACTTCAGATTTATGCACATTTTTATGCACATCTTTATCACCTATAGACTTACTTATTGATCGGACTGTCCTCAAAATATCTTTCTGTAATAACCCAATAAGACCTCTAGAAAAAATTTATCATAATTTGTTACCTGAAAATCCATAAGCACTTTCATATCAATTGCGAATTGTTCCATGTCAATGAAATTTTTAGGGATTTTAATGTGTGTAAATTCATTATAGAGGTATATGGATGGAAATGGTCGAACAATGTACTGTACATAAATTTGTCCATCTTAAAGAAAAAACAAACCATTAAAAAAAAATGTAAAATCAAAAATTTTACTATCATATGATACTTACTCACAGATTGAATGGTGTAAACACGGGCTTCCTTACAACAAACAGTGTCAAGTAATTTGTTTAATATTCGCTTTGCGTTGCGGGCGAGCTTGACATTATCACCAGTTTCCTTACTATCAGGTGCTTTTTCGCCATAAGAAAATTCAGTGATGCATATTGTTTGGTGTTCCTTTTTTTTCGTTTTAATAACCTTCAAGGCACCATCTATCTTTCGGCTCTTTGTGTCCTTTGTAAGTATTTCGAGTCTAAACGAATAAAAAGAAAATCAATAATATAACTCAAACTATTAGAGTTTGAAATTGAAACTTACCATGTTCGTTCCAAGATTTCCTGATGCATCCGAAAAAGTCGATTTACAATATATATCGTGGTATCAATAGCATACGTTCTCTCCAAATCTGATTCATTTGACTCGGAGTTGTTTGGAGCTTCCAAGCGTACAGAGCTATTCATCATTAATGTTAATAATAATTTAGAGAACCGAGCATCATATAGTTAATAATACTCACAAATGCTTCATGATATCTTGAGCGATATCGTGCCCTTCGTGAAAAAAAGGGTCAAATCGTCCCACAATAAAGGACTCACTAGAGTGGGAATTTGAACACGATCGCATACGTCTTCCGTAAACTGAACACAAAAATCTTTGAACTCGGATGTTGGAATCCAGCTTTGTTTTTTTAGTATTCGATCAAGCCATGACCGTTGTTCTTGATCCAATTTCGATTGTAGTTGTTTTTTCACATCAGCATCCGTTAAATCAATTATTTCATTAAGGAAATTCGAATTCATGAACGTTTTGCCCAATTTAAGGTCTTTGGATTTGCGTTCATGGAGTATTTCAAGTAAAATATTTCGAAGTAAAACTTCATTGGGGTCCAAAGAATTTATCTGAAAGTTTGGGTAGCAGTGAGTATAAATCTGTAGTATGTATAAATACAGAATATGAAGCAAAGCTATAATACCTCCAACAATTCATCTGAAGATTCCGATATGTGATTATTTTCCGAACCTAAGGATTCTTGAACATGCTCTTCGCTATCATTCTGTTATGTGATGCACACATCAAAAGAGATTATTTATAAAGGATATCGTTGAGAACTAAATATTTCATAACATAATTACCTCTGACACGAAATCACTTGAAACATCTGACGAATATATTTGATGTGGGGGAGTACATGGTGGTTGGGCCTGTTCACGTTGTGGAGAAGTGACCAGGGTGCAATAATCAATTTTGGTACGTTGTGGGACTTCATCATTGTCCTAAAGGTTAAATACAAAGAATAACAACTTTTTTTAAAACTGCATCATTGGACACAAACTAGTAACAAGATGAATTACGTTAACAACGCGCCTTAAGGTCATTTTGCAAAGATCGTTTAGGAGCAGTTGCTGATGTTGAAGTTGTAGCGTCGATGTCATTAAGAATAGTCTTGCGAACCTTTGACATTGATTCTACCCCGTCAACGTAAGTGGAAACAATAGCCTCACTCTTGCATATTGTAGAATAGAAGCAACAAAAATGAGTGTTAGTTGGAAGGATTAGCAACTGGAAAATTTCTAAAGCTTACCCTGATTTGGTCAACGGTGACACGAGTTTTCACAGTTTAGCGAGTTTCTTAACAAAAGTTAATATAATAATCAGTACAATACTAGGCAAGAGGCAGAAATATCTCAAGAATCTTAACGGTCATTCGGCAACGACCAAGGAGTCATCACTGAGCAACCAAGAGTAACTCAGCTAGTTGCCAAAAAAGCACCGGCCAAGAGCCATCACCATACGACCAAGAGTTATACAGCTTGGTGACTTGACACGTATATCTATCCATAAAAACCTCAAACATTTTATTTACGTACATTCCAGCCGGACTTCAGAAGTTGTTCCGCTAGTTGAGCTTCATTATCTTCCATTTTTGCGCGTTGCTGAAGATCCTTCTTAATACAGTCGAGAATGCGGGGAAAGTAGTTGTCGTTTTGACAATAGTGTGATGCAATTATGTCAAGGGTCCAATATTCTGCAGGTGTTTTAAAATAGTTCATGTATTGAAAAATGATTTCTCGCGTAATTTACAGCATGATGGAGTTTCTCTCTGATTGGCTCAGATTTAAACAATCAACGCGGATTGTGATTGGTTAAAATATATTGTA